ACCATCCTGGACCTTGTTGACGTAGAGTCTGGGGCCAAAGAGCTCACCACCTATCAAATCAACACTGGACCAAGAGACAAACTGAGCTTCCCAGGTTCTTCTGGCAATGATCATCCTGCTGCTGTCAGGTTGTGTGAGGCAGAGGATGGATTACTCTTCTAGGCTCTGCTGGCCATGTCACTATGGGCAGATGAGGTCTTAATGGCTGGTGAGAGATAGGGATTGAATTAGGATTCAAACTTCCTTAGTATTGCAGCTATGAACAGATTAGAGTTCTCATTGCCATTGGCGATGAGTCTCCCTATTAAGTCTCTGTTTGGCTTTCTTTTCCTTTTCCCTTGACCAAAGACAATGAATTTTACTTTTCCTTTCTTCGTTTTTGTCTATGACTGTTGACAGTTCAAGGTTTTCCACATCCCAATCTGGGATCTATGGGAGGTAAAATAAATCCTAGGGAGCTTACCATGGTGGTGTTCTCCAAGTCCTGTGGTCAGTCCACCTTCTCTTTCTTTTTTACCTTTCAGAGTCATTTTATGATGATCTATTTAATTCTTTCCAGGTTATTTGGTTGTATTTAGAGAAGAAAGGTGGAAAAGTAGTGAATATTTTTCACTATTCACTATTCACTATATGCCTAGGAACCTGAATAGACTGAACTTTTTAAGAGATTGACAAATTATTTTTCAAAATTCGAGACTATTTTATTACTTACACATCTCTAAGAATAGTGTATGAGTTACAGTTCTTTCAAATCCTCACCAACACTGGTATGGTCAATATATTTTTCTTAATTTTAAGTATTTGAACACTTACATAGTAGAATCATATTGTTTTTAATTTTTGTTTTCTAATAAATGATACAGGTGAATATCTTTTCAGATACTTATTTTCCATCTAATGATGTATTTGTACTGAACTGCCACAAGATAGTACAACCTATAGTACAACAGAAACTCAGATTTCACTCTATTTTATTTATTTGTTTGTTTATTATTTTATTTATTTTTAGAGATGGGATCTCACTATGTTGTCCAGGCTTGTCTAAACTCCTGCCCTAAGGCAATGCTCCCCCTCCCCCAGCCTCCTGAGTCAATGGGATTACAGCCATGAGCAAGCACCACTGACTTGTGCTTATTTTTAGAAGTCTTTCCAACACCCCTACTCTATACCTCTTTCTGACAACCTGGTCCAGTTGTTTTTAATCTTACCTCATCTAATCATTGTTGTAGTTCTCAGCTTACTACAGTGCTGCTTCCTACAATTCACTTTTCATGGACATGACCTTCTTTCCTCCAAAGAAGTATAAACCCCTTGTAAGAAGATATCGTTTCTTGTATTTTTCTGAGTTCTCCTTCAATGCTTGGAGCAGTTTTTAATACACTGTAGGTCTTTCTTAACTACCCAGAAAGGGAGTCAGTGATTAAAGGGAAATAATGAGTATATTTGTGGTGAGTGGTGTCAGTGAAATCCAGAGCTATGCAGTAAAGATAGCAAAATATACTTTGTTCAGGAACTATTACAATAGAGAGAAACAGGCCTCCATTTAATACCGGACTCAATTTTGAATACAGCATGGAAACGTGGAGATCCATGGCCAAAGGATGAATAGGAGTCCACAGCAGGAATAAAAGGGAATTCTCACTGAACTAATCTAACGGGACTCTTGCTGAAGACAGGCCAGGATGATTAGCTAATACCCAAAGGATGGTAGAAGATGAGGAATTTGATTAGATATTGAGGGTGAGTGAATATCAAGGATAGGGCATTCTCTCCAAACTCACTTAGCAAGGTCCTTGCTACAATTAGGTAGTACAGACTCAACAACGATGGACACTGAACCCTGAATTTAAAGTCCAGTGGAGAAGAGAGCTTAGAGGAGTGTGCCTAAAGTTTGATCTAGGAGAGAATTTTTGTCAGTGAGAGAGTGAATTGAATAAGCAGTTAGGGTTGCAAATTTTATTCACCCTCTCTGCCAAAACAAAACTTATAAAGTAGCAGAAAGCATTGTTTATGGGCAGGATATAAACTCTGCAAGTTTAAAATCTCAAGAGACTCCCAGAAGAGTTTTACAAATTACATGTTACACAAAGCATTGTAACTAATGAGAGCAAATTACAAAGTTGGGTGAGGAAGTTATCTTAAGCCTCTGATGAAAGAGAGAGGAATCCCTTAGGATCTCCTAACCAAAACCAAACCTCTAGAGCTGAGGAATCTCCAGCACTTATAATAATCAAACAATACCTCTAAATCAGTAGAAAAGAAGGCTCCAAACCATTGTAATTTAGTGGGCAGTGGGGGCTGATCACATCAAGTATGGACTAACTTCATAATTCATGTCACAAAACTCGAAAGCCATAGAATATGAAAGTTTGCATAAACTTGGGACCCTTTTTCTTACTTCCCATCTGGGGAAACTCAAAACCAGAAGATGCAGCAGCTTTCCCAATGTCACTAAGCTAGCAGTGATAAAAGTAAGAATCCAGACTCTCATACTAAATCAATGTTTAGAGTTTTTCAGACTAAATCAATCCCTGTCTCTTTTGAGTGGTGAACAAAGTATGCTTCCAGCAATGTTGTGAAGATTTTCTTTCAGAGGAACATAATCGTGACAGTGAATTCACTTTGGAGCCTGATAAAATACACAAGGTAGGAAACTATTCTAGATGGTTTTATTCTCTTCTCCTCGTATCTAATTGTCACTACAAAAAGAAAGGATCGTTGGGATAAAATTATATACCTTTTCCATATTACCATTTCTCTTTAGGAAGTGTGTATATATATAAATATTTTGGTCAGTGGATTAATATCCCAAATTAAATTTAACAAAGATGGATTTAGGGACAACTTCAGAGATAGGTGAGGTAGGGTGGGACGTAATACCCTCACAACACACACACACACACACACACACACACACAATCATGCACACATTTAGAATATACCCCAAGTAGAGATTCTGACATTTATACTCTACTGCTGATGATTCACCAAGGAAATATTTAGCACACAGTCAAGTAAGGACTAGATAAGAAAAGATCTATCTTAGGATTTGTATTGCTGATTATTTGCGTTTTCAAAATGCTTATGAATTTAATGGTGACTTTAAAAACAGAACCTTCCCCAACCCCCTCACCGTCCCCCAGTTTCTGCCTCAACTCCCAGAGCTGTGTTGGGAGAGGTAGAACGTGTAAAATCAGACTTCTTTTTCTGGTAGTATGTTAGAAAAAGCTTGAGTTTTGTACCGAGGACATCAAGCACTGAAACAACTTATTGTTTTGCTAATATATTGCACATTTTCTCTTTGCTCTACTTAATCCTTTAGTTCTAGAATACACATAATTGCCTTTCTTACAGAGTTACTGTGAAGGGTCAAGAGTGCTTGGGAGCCTTGCTGTGTGAAGTGCTCTACTGATGGGAGGAATTTTCCACAGTGCCTTAGGGATAAGCTTCTGAAATCATTGAAAATGCAGCAGAATGCTTATCATAGAGAAAAGTGAAACAATCATCTGGAAGTAGATTTAGAAACTAAAGAAACTCATGCTGACTTGATAAGCATTGATAAATGAAAGGAACATACAATTCAAGTCAAAACTGTTTGCTTCTAGTCACAAATAGGCCACATCTGAGACTTAATTTTATTTCTAGAATAAGTAATCATACTTGTCCTACCCATTTCACAGCTGTCCCATGCACTTTATGCTGTGAAGAGTAAAATCAATAAATATTTGAAAGAATTTGGAAAAATATAAACCCTGTAAATGCTAGTTATTAAATATATTGACATATGGAGCAGGAAAAAATAGTAGTTCAATATACTACAGGGCTGAAACAATGTATTAAATATAAGGACAAAAAACATGTTATAGAAATCAGAGAAGTATGAGATTAAATCAGATGTAGCATTATTGGAAAATTTATACAATTAGTAAATGCACTTACTTTCTTTGAAGGCTGAGCTTGGAATTAACAAAATAGACACAATCTTTTTTTTTTCCTTTTTTAGACGGAGTTTCGCTCTTGTTACCCAGGCTGGAGTGCAATGGCGCGATCTCGGCTCACCGCAACCTCCGCCTCCTGGGTTCAAGCAATTCTCCTGCCTTAGCCTCCCGAGTAGCTGGGACTACAGGCATGCGCCACCATGCCCAGCTAATTTTTGTATTTTCAGTAGAGACGGGGTTTCACCATGTTGACCAGGATGGTCTCGATCTCTTGACCTCGTGATCCATCCTCCTTGGCCTTCCAAAGTGCTGGGATTATAGGCGTGAGCCACCGCGCCCGGCCTGAGCAAAATAGACACAATCTCAATTGACACCTGCACTATGCTTGTACAGTCTGTTTATCAAAACCATTTACAGATTCTAATTAATTACTGTCAATCCTAAGGATCCTAGGGTGCCCTATCTTTCTTCTTTCCCTCTTCTCAAAATAGAAAGAATGAAACATGTTTTTTACTTTCCTTTAAAATTCTAGGACCTAAATATATTCTCCAAGAAGGGGTAATGACTTTGGGCTTCTCCAACAATTGCAAGTCATTGTCCAAGTTTTGTCCTAAAATTATTTGGAAATCAATTCTCAACATTTGCATAGTAAATATTTATAGACCACACATTGTGTGGAAGTTTCTATGTTGGACCCTGACTCTGTCTATTAGCCACTTAAAAGTTTTCTCAGTGTTCAGAAGCTCATCCAAATCAGGCTCTCCTAATGTATCTGAATCTCTTTCATCTGAGCATTAACCAGAGTGCTTCTTCCCACATTATATCACCTGCCTAAAAAAAAAATCCTTTAAAAATTGGCCAGAGCAAGCCTTCTTGTCATATACTAAGCCGTCACTAATTAGTTTTTGAATAAAGAAAATAAATGAGTGACTGGAAAATGGGAAAAACATATTACCTACATATACATGGTTTTGCTAAACTGCATGAAAAAGCAGTTGGTAATTATAATTCTGATGATTTGTCTTAGTCATCACAATTTTCATCTGATGATATCAAAAGATAATGGAGTTGAATGTTTGTTGTTGTTTCTTTCAGATTTCAGACATTCAAACAATGAAGAGCAACCAGACAATCCTGAAGGAATTCATTCTTATTGGCTTTTCTGTGTACCCACATGTACAGACATTTCTTTTTGTGGTCTTCTTTTGTCTCTACCTTCTCACCCTTGCAGGTAATCTGACCATCATGGGTCTAACTTGGGTGGACAGGTACCTCCACACCCCTATGTATCTCTTCCTTAGTGCACTGTCCTTCTCTGAGACCTGCTACACACTGACTATCATCCCCAAGATGCTGGAAGATCTACTGGCCAAGGACAGAAGCATTTCAGTCATAGGTTGTAGCTTACAGATGTGTTTCTTCTTGGGTCTTGGTGGCACAAACTGTATCATCCTCACTTTGATGGGATATGACCGTTTCCTGGCCATCTGTAACCCTCTAAGATATCCACTGCTTATGACCAACATTGTATGTGGCAAACTTGTGGCCTCTGCTTGCACTGGAGGCTTTTTTGTCTCTCTTACAGAGACTGCACTGATATTCAGGAACTCTTTCTGCAGACCCAGCCTTGTCAAACACTTCTTCTGCCATATGCGGGCAGTTGTTAGGCTGTCCTGCATAGACAGTAACCTCACGGAATTCATTGTAACACTGATCTCAGTGTCCGGCTTGCTGGGTACCTTCCTGCTCATTATCCTGACTTATGTCTTCATTATTTCCACTGTCCTCAGGATCCCTTCCACTGAGGGCAAGCAGAAGGCTTTCTCCACCTGTGCCTCCCACCTCACAGTGGTTATCATCCACTTTGGTTTTGCATCTATCGTTTATTTGAAGCCAGAAGCCTCAGGAGGAGATGACACACTCATAGCAGTCCCTTATACTGTCATTACCCCCTTCCTCAGCCCCATCATATTCAGCCTGAGGAATAAGGACATGAAAAATGCTTTCAGAAGAATGATGGGAAACACAGTTGCCTTGAAAAAATAATCTTAGGTTGTTGCTGCTTGTTTGAAGCATGGCTCAGTGTCCCCAGAATTCAGTGAGGGCATTTATCCTATGACACCTGGGGAAGCCTAAACCACTTGCCTTGTTCCAGAGGTTGGGTTATAAGCAGCAAGTAACTGAGACTGGGAACTAAGTCATCACAGGCAGCTAGCTTGTTAAGAGAAGTTGTCCAACCCTCTGCTATCCAGTATCAGAAGAAGAATGCCCCTGCAGGTATAGGATTCTAATAATCAACTTCCATGTGTCCTGAATATTCATTAATTGGGTAAAGAGTGTGGAAGGAAAAAAAAAAGCATATAAAACCACTGCATTGAGAGATGTTTTAAAATATCTAAAGTTGTCAACCATGCCTGGTGGCTCATACTTGTAATTCCAGCACTTTGGGAGGACGAGATGGGAGGATCACTTGAGGCCAGGAGTTTGAGACCAGTCTGGCCAACATGGTAAAACCTTGTCTCTACCAAAAATACAAAAGTTAACCAGGCATGGTGGTGGGCGCCTGTAGTCCCAGCTACTCGGGAGGCTGAGGCAGGAGAATCACCTGAACCCAGGAGGCAGAGGTTACAGTGAATGGAGACCGTGCCATTTCACTCCAGCCTGGGTGACAAAAGCAAAACTCAATTTCAAATAATAATAATAATAAAAGTTAAGGAATTTTTAGGCAAAACTATGAAGCACTGATATGTACCTTCCATAAGACAAATGATTTCTGACAAGATATATAAGCGTATTGATGTAATTTTGAGTTCTGTTACTTATGGGAATGCTATTAAATAAATGAAATAATGGATAAACTTATTATGCACATTAACTGATTAAGTTTACCCCTGACGATGACTCTCTTTCTTTGGGATTATTTTCATGACGCATGTACAGACAAAAATCTCTGCTATCTTCAATCTGCAGCCATTACTTAGTGGCAAGAATCTTCTTTTACTTTGGTTCCACTCCTGACAATTGGTTGTTTAATCTAGGGAAGCTAAACATCTCAAAAATAAATACTATTTACTCCCTTATGGTGGATGCAGAGGATATTACGTCAAGTCTAGACTCAAGATCCTGAACCTAAATTTGGACCAATTAGCCTGCTTGTGCCTGATATAGTGACTGTGGTGGGGATTGCTAGTTGCCAGAAATAAGTAACTAAATGGAAGCTGAAAATACCTAAAGACTCATGCACATATGGGCACTTGCTTTATGACAAATAAAGCATTGCAGAACAGTGAGAAAATGATAGACATTCAATATAACTGGTACTAGGAAAATAGCATATCCATATGGGAAAAACAAAATCTGGAAAAAATACTCAATTTCTAAAAATCAAAAACTAAATTTGAAAAATGAAACTGTAAAACTTTTAAACATAAGAAGATATTTTCACTAACTTGGGATAGAAAATACTGTTTAAACTGTGTGTAAAATTTTTAACTAAAAGGAAAAAGGCTGATTAAATCAAAATTGGGACATTTTATTCATCAAAAAGACATTATTGACAGAGTGGAAAAGAAAGCCAAATAATATAGCTATAAAGACATTTCAGAGAGTGATAAGTATGAAATTTAGAATGATGATTCCTTTTAGAAGGAGCCTGTGATGAGCAGGACAGGAGGCACATGGCAACAGCTCCTGATGGGCTTTTCCTTGGTCTGGGTAGTAATTGCAAGGGGTTTTGCCCATGAGAGATTAAATAAGCTATGTATTTGTTTAGATAATTTTCTGTGTTTACACTTTATTTTATAAGGTAAGGATTAAACAAAGCAATGCACGGAAAGAGAAAAAAGTCTGTAACATGTAACTGGCAAAGGCCCTCATTTGGTGTATACGGTCATCTGTCACTTAACAATGAGAGTGTATTCTGAGTAATATGTAATTTTGTGATTTTGTCATTGTGTAAACATCACAGAATGTACTTACACAAACCTACTCCGCAGGTAGACTGTATGATATAGCCTAATGCTCCTAGGTTACAAACATGTACAGTATGTTACTGTACCGAATACTGCAGGCAATTCTAACACAATGGTGTTTATGTATCTAAACACATCTAAGCATAGAAAAGGCACAGTAGAAATATGGTATTATAATCTGTGGAACCACCATGGTCTGTGTGGTCTGTCACTGACCAAAACATCATTGTGTAGTTTATGACTGTATAAATAATTTCTAGAAGAAATAAAATTCTCAATAAAAAGACAAAGGAAAAATTTCTAAGAGATGCAAATAGATCCTTTATAAAAGAGAATATTCAGCTGTTCAATAAATACCTTAAAACGTGCTTGATCTCATTAGTAAGCATGAAAATGAACATTAAAACCCCAGTGAAGTACTATCACAAACTCACTTGAATGGTTAAGATTAAAAGGCTGGATTAACGAGTGTGAAAAAAGAAACATAAAGCAACAAGAACTCTTCAGTGCTCTTAATAAGAGTGTATAATTGTTCAGTCATTTTAGAAAACGGCCTGGTATTATAAACTTATTTTGGAGATACTCGTAACCTGTGGTTAAACTTTCCTACTCTTAGGTGTATGCCCTAAAGAATAGTATGCACATGTGTATCCTAAGACATACATAGATGTCCTTAAACACAGTATTTGCAAAATGGCAAAAGCTGAAAATTATTCAGCTAATTTACTACAGAATGGATAGAAAAATTATGGCATATTCATGTATGCCATAATTATTTCTTAGTGGCAGTAATAAAAATGAATAAACTATAGCTATATACTTCAGCATGCATGTGAAACTCTTTTTTTCCTTTTTATATCGTATCTTTCTTCTATAATCTAATATATATAATTCAAGACTTTGTCTCTGACCCAATTTCTCATTAGGGTTTTCTAAATTTTTATACCAAGAAATTTCTTTAATGGGAAGAAATGAAAATATTTTCTAGCGTCAATAAGCAATATAGTAAGACATTAATGAAGAAACAAAATAAGAGGTAAATTCTGTTCTGCATCTAAATGTAGAGTGCTTTTTTTGTGGAAAAAATGTCCAT